AAAGATCTAATCTCCCAATTGTCAGGTAGGTAGTGGAGTAAAATGGTTGACCTTGCCTTCCTCTTCTACTCCTGTGATAATCATAGTTCATGAGGAGGGTCTTCCTGCAAATACAAGAACAGAATCAGCTGCCCCTATATCTAAAAGAAATATAATTTGCTTACCCATTATGTCCAGAGTTACCTGGGTTCTTTAGTAGTGATGACTATATTCCTAGACAGGGGTGGCTAGAATGGCCCTGGGCCCCTTCAGTCACACAGTTCCCGGACCTGTGCTACTAGGGCATTAGCTAGCCACCCTTCTCTCTGGGAGCGTGGACAGTCAATTCTCCAATGCCAGGGATTAGTACCAGTTTCTCTGCATGTACATCAAGGGCTTAAGGGCTTTTTGGTACAGTTCTTTGCCCAATGTCCTACTTTCTTGCATTTGAAGCAAGAATTCAATGTCTTCTTATTCCTCAGTCTCTTAAAAGATGCTTGTCGGGTATCAAGGGCCTGGCCAATTGCAACAGCCATAATCCTGGCTTGTTGTTTATCTTTATTCTGTTTTCTTTTTCCCTCTTCAAGATCCAGACCATGAAGCCATATATAGTAATTGATTTTGGTTAGTTTGTGGCCTCATTTGCAGCTTTTGAAGCTTGAGTCTGATACCAGGGGCTGACTGGCTAATAAAATGCTGGCCTAACAAAGCTAACCCTGCAGGAGAAATGAGGTCTGCATTAGTAAATCTCCTAAAGGATTCTTTTAGCCAGTTAAAAGCTGGCAGAGTTCTCATCCTTTTCTTGAGTAATGGTTCTAAGCTTCTCATAGTTCGTGGCTTTTGTATTCCTTTTTTTTCATTCCCTCCATGAGGGCCTCTAGAAATTTGGTGCATCTGGCCATTTCCTCTTGGGTATTATAATTCCAATCAGAATCAGCTAAAGGTACTACCTCTGTTGCAGGGGCATGGCCCTGGGGGTTCCTAACAAAGGCCTCATCTGCCTCCTGACAGCTGCTGCTAGAATGCAGTCCTTTTCAATGATTGTACAGCAGGTGACTAAATAAATTGGATATTTTTTGCTGGCTCTTCTTTGTTCTATCCCCGAGTCGGTGGAGCCACAAGTAGACGCTGTCCCTGCCTATTTGCGCAGAACTGGGCCCAAGGGGGCACTACAGTAGCGATTTGCAAGTCTATGTATGGAAACTGGACTGGATGTCCAGGGGTGCCTGTCACTACCCAGTACACAGCTCTAACAGTGGGGAGGTCCAGGGCTTCTTCCGAAGGCCATCTTACCCCATAGGCGGGCCACTCAAGCTCACAAAGAGTACAAAGTTTTCCTAGGGTCAGCTTGACCCTGTAATCCCTTGAGAAGCCTTTCTTAAAATTTTTCAACATACAATTTAAGACAGTTGGCTTAGAGGAACCTCCCTCCATATTTGCCTTAGGGAGCTTCCTAATGGAGCGGGAAAATAAACCTTAAAATTTCAAGAAAACAATTTGACAGAGGGCCCCTACGTCAAAAGGGTCATTTGGAGATAGACAATTCTTAAGCCGAATCGGTAATTAATTGTCCCCCTTACCCCCCACCCCCGTATATCCCACCCTGTGTTGGTGACACAAGAATAAACAAGGTTGGGTGCCTCCTCCAGAGAGGAGACCATTCAGGTCCTCATCTGGCCGCGTCCTGAAGGAGTTTAGGTGATGCTTGGCTGTAGCGGACTCAGCTTTGTGACTTATGATCAGACACTTGTCCAATGCCTCCATAGACTGTATGCCGTACACTACGGAACCGCAGATGAGCCCACTTGGACTCAGTAGCCTTTAAGAGAACTTAGGGGTGCCCAGCCATGGAGCCACAAATTTATACCTGACTGAGTGAAGTCGGTCAGGTCGCTCATTCGCTCATTCATTTACACACCAGGTTAAAACATTGCCTTCCCCCTTTTTGGAAGGCCCTGATCTTTGTTTTTCCCCACTGGGCACTCTGATTTCTTCCTCCACTGGGAAGACCCTGACCTGTGTCCTCTTCTAACTGAAGACTAGGAGCTCCCTCTACCGGCCATGTAATACCAAAAGAGGGCCAGTTAATCTCACAAAGGGTGTGGAGTTTCTATAGGGTGAGTTTAACTCCATAATCTCCTGAATAACGCTTTTTGAAATTCTTGACTATCGTGGCCAGGGGAGTAGGCTTTCCCTGTGTACCCCCCATGCCTTTCATGACAAATAGCAACCTAGCCACATGGAGGGTTGGAGGATAAGATCGGGGAAACTTTGAAGGGAAACGTCACTTGCTTTGCCCATCTCTGGCCGATCCCCTTGCAGAGATCTTTCAAGCGCCTCTTAGCAATTGGTGGGTCGGTGTAAACCCCTGACTCAGATCACTGGAGTCGACTCCTCATAGAGATCCAGTGACACCACCCTAAGCCATATGAGGTTCACCATAGAACCATGGATAGAGGCTCAACTCTCACTTTACAGCAAGGCCATGTCTCAGTCACTCAGCACTCACTCTCTTTCATACAACCTCCCATCATTCCTTAACCTGTCCTGTGGAGAGTAAGCAGTCACTCCTCTTAACCTGTTGAGGACGCTTGGTTACTCTCCGGAGGGTAATTGGGCCTCCCTTTTTCTCACTGTTAACCAAACACATTCCACCTTCCGCCCTATATACCTAGAGGTCACAGTTTCCTCTAACAAATGTAGAGTACTTGGGTGACCTTGGGAGATGATCTGACTCCCTTTTGACCCCATGGGCCAGGACCTCAGCTAGCTACCCTTCACCTGTTTTTTCCTTACCGTGGCCCTGATGCATCCTAGTTTTCTCATTCCTCCATTGTCCGATCCTTGCAGGGACTGGCAGATGAGGTTTCCCCTTCCGTCCTGTGAGGTGTCCACACAGGGTAATCTCTGGTGCACACTCAGTGGTTGTGTCTATAGGGCAGGTTAGGGTTTCTCCAGTGGGTTACCTGAAGTCTGCGAAATGCGGGCGCCGTTCCTCCATTCTTCCTGGCCAATGCACAAGAAATCTGTTGCAGGAAGTGACATCTGAGGGAGGAAATTGGACACTCAGACAACTTTATCAGAGGAAGGAGAATTTATTAGCCGGTGGAGCACATGGGGCTTAACAACGCCAAAGCACAAGCTTGCCCTGGTTAGATTTCTTACAGTTTATATACCTTTGCAGTGTCCATGCAAGGGGCGTGTGATTCCTTCGTCTGAGGTTTTACGTGCTCCTCATGACTCAGGATGGGCAAGGGGAGTTTCAGGTGGGGGCTGCAAGAGGGAAGGAATTCCAAGACCACTGGTCCTATCTATTTACAGGTTGTTTATCTTGTAGATGGTGCAAGAGTTTCCAGAAGGCCATTTAGAGATCTATAGGGTACGGTCAATCTATAACCGGCTGAGTTGGTCATTTCTGCAAGTCCTTGCCTTTGCATTTTTCAGATGCCTCCTCTCCTCTCTTATATTAGGGAAGAGCTTTTATATATAAAAGAGCTTGTATTAGAGAAAACTGCAGTACCTGAAAGAAGAAAAGATTTTTTTTTGGTTGTTTTCCAAATAAGTAAGAATTTTAGCAGTGGTAGATTGAGCAAAATATGTTTCAAGAAGGGGAAATAGTACATGAAAAGGCACAAAGGACTAAATTCATGTGACGCTCAAGGGATCTACAAATGCACATGATGTCAAGCCATTCATTAATAATATGTGAATTTATTGAGATTGAACACAATACCTCTTGACGAGAAAAGAAAGAGTTGAGCTCAGTGATGTTTCTGCCTCTATTAAAAACACATCTACAGACATATTGCCTGTAATCCAGTTTACCTGCCTATATCCTGCTTTTTTCTTGCACAAGTTGGAAAGGTGGCTAGATTCTCTGGGCAGCCCACCTAGGCCTTGCGTGTCTGTGTGACTGAGACATCAGGCACATGCCCTGGACTTTTGCAGCGCTGTACAGTCTGCAGTATATGCAAAAGGCTTCAGCGGGGCTCTGCTCTGCTACACCAGTGCTTATGCAGGCTTGGATCAGCTGTAGCGATAGCAGATAGCATTCTGACAACACACAAGAGTACATGCATCTCTGTGTGGCTGCTGTCACCGCACGTTAGCCTGAACTCTATCCAGCTGGAATTACAGGCGAAAATTCTGTGTATTCCTTTTCACTGCTCCAAGCACAGGACCCTCAGCAGAGCCCATGAAAAGACAAAGGAGGCAGGGAGTGGCCATAAGTGGCCAGTCAAGTTCCGCAGATTGTCCGACCTCGCTAGGTCAACAGAACCCTGGAAAGGGAGCCACCCACACACAGACTCACTGGGGTTGGCTGTGAAGAACAGCTGCCCTTTACCCACAGGCCTGTCAAGGGCTTTCACCCAAGTTTAAGAGAATCAATGAAAGGGCCCCATAAGCAGCAGCAAGGGCTACACAAATTGCTTAGTAACATGCGAATGCCACTTATGCCCTGACTCCTCCACCAAAATTGCATATTTATCGCATCTATCTATTCAAGTTCAAATCATTGCTCTGGTTTTTCATGTATTTCAGCTCATGTCCTTGGTTCAGAGGCAGGAAATTGCAAGAAATAGAGCTATTGAAAATGGAAATTGAAAAGGAATGGAGCCATTCAAACCTCTGCAGCGACTTCCATGCAACACTGGACACAGCGTGTGCTGATTGTGGAAACCCTGGCCTGAGGCCTGTGGTCAGGCTGATGCATGGGTGTCATCCTTTGGCTGAGGGTTGTGCCCAAACTTGCACCAAGCCACACAGAGAATTGGCCCAAGCGCTCCTCCTGCTCACCAAAAGGGTTTAACAACGCCGGGCAGTAGGGCTATTTTGTGTCCATCTCAGGTGTACAGCATATCTAAACCATCCCTCTATGCATTTACAAAACATTAAACCTTCCGTGGGGTTCAGGGACCTGCGGTTAGAGGCAACCTTGCAGCGGCCGAGCACGCGGGTCTCCAGGCTGGAGATGGACGAGCTCAGTGACAGAGCGGTAGAAGCTTAGCCCAGCCTGGCATGGCAGCCTTAGGCCCCAGCGAGCCTCATAAAGGCCATCCTAGCCAGTGGCTCAGTGCTGGGTTCACCTGCCCTTCTCATCTGCTCCCATCTATGTGCCCTGGTTTAAAGGTGACCATTAGCGTCATCCCTAATGTGCACATACAGGCCTAACAGTAACCCCCACCAGCTGAGTGCCTGTGAGGGTAGCTGGCCGTCACTCTCAATGTGGTGGTAGCAGGGGGTCGGTGAGAGGGTTGGGTAGTGGGATGTGGGGGGTGCGCAGTACTTGCTTTGTCACCCTTCAGAAGGAGAACACACCCGTTTCCTGTTCAGATTGCCTATGGGTTCATGGGGAGCTTAGAAATGGTAACCTGATGAATATGCATCATGGGTGGGGGATCCCAGGACTGGCCCAGCTAGGAATGGGGTGGGGGACAGGTGGACCGAAACCTCTCCTAACTCACCTGTCTCACATCCACGTCGTTAGAGTTGGTGCATTCAATTGCTTCTGACCTGGATGTGGTGGCTCTGCTCCCAAATGCAGTTAAGGTGCCTCTGAGTGCTGGGAACTCTGTCACTCTGGTGCCCTAAAGGGTCCAAACCCTAATCGCACTATCAGGGAGACAATTACACATTCATATACAAGGGGACGAAGGTGCAGAAACAAGGTTCTTTGCTACCCTGAAGCTCACAGCAAAATCCTCACTCTAGTTCTTTCCAGAAGGGAGAAGACCAAGACAGGGAAATACACTCATAGCCTCAAGTAGACGGAACTACAATAGATCATAGCAGGGGTTGGGTGATTGTGCAAAAGATAATCTTATCTTAGCCAGCAATTATGTGCTCTTGTATAAAAGAGGCTTGGAAAAATAAAACTGTACCACTGCTCCACCATCAGTGGACAGTGGACCTCCTAATCCCAGCTTTCTGTCTTCTTTTTTTTCTTCATCTCCCACCGTTCCCACTCAGGTATATTTTCCAGAGCCACGCTGGACATGGCAGGATTTATCACTTGCTGGACGCGGCACACCAAAAGAATAATTCATTTAAAAAAAAGTTCATACATTGGACTTCATAAAAACTAAATCCACCAGCTCTTCAAGACATATTGTTAAGAGAACATTGTCTCCATTTATCCATTGATAGACACTTAGGTTGTTTACATGTCTTGGCTATCATAAATAATGCTGCAATAAATACAAGCATGTAGATATCTCTTTGAAACAGTGACTTCGTTTCCTTCAGATATATACACAGGTATGGAATTACTAGATTATATGGTAGTCCTACGTTTAATTTTTTTAAGGAATCTCCACGCACTTTTCCATAGAGACTAAACAAATTTAAAGTCCCATCAACAGTTCACAAGGGTTCCATTTCTTCACAGCCTTGACAATATTTATTATCTCTTGACTATTTGATAACAGCCATTTGAAGGTGTGAGATGATATCTCATTGTTTCATTAAATAATTTTGTATTTTTCAATTACAGTTGATATACAATATTATATTAGTTTCAGGTGTACAGCATAGTGATTAGGTATTTACGTAACTTATGAAGTGATCACCTCAATAAGTGTAGCACACAACCAACTCCAAAGTTATTGCAATATTATTGACTATATTCCCTGTGCTGTACTTTACATTCCCATGATTGTTTTTATAACTGGAATTTGCACAACTTAATTTCTTTCCTTTTTTTACCGTTTTACCCATAACCCTCCTTTCATTTGGAAACCATCGAAATGTTCTTTATATCTATGACTTTGTTTCTGTTTTATTTTGAATTTTATTTCCCTGATGATTATTGATTTTGAACATCTTTTCATACACTTGTTTGCCATTTAGGTGTCTTCTTGGAAAATTGTCTATTTAAGTCCTCTGCCCATGTTTTAATCAAATTTTTGTATTTTACTATTGAGTGATATGAGTTCCTTATATATTTTGGATATTAACTCCTTATCAGATACATAGTTTGCAAATATTTTATCCCATTACATAGATTGCTTCTTCATTTTTTTATTGTTCCTTTTTATACAGATATTTTGTTAGTTTGATATAGTCCCACTTGTTGATTTTTGCCTTTGTTGCCTATGTTTTTGGTGTCACATCCAAAAATTCATTGACAAGACCAATATCAAGAAGCTTTCCCCTGTATTTTCTTATAGAAGTTCTACAGTTTCAGGTATTACAGTTAACACTTGACCACATTAAAATTAGAACTTAACTACAGAATAATCATTATTGAGAATCACCTAAAGTTTTATGGGAGCTCCCTTGTAGGTAACTAATTGCTTCGTTCTTGCTGCTTTCAATATTCTTGTCTTTAACCTTTGGCATTTTAATTATGATGTGTCTTGGTGTGGGCCTCTTTGGGTTCATCTTGTTTGGGCTTGTATATCTACTTTTTTCTCCTGGTTAGGGAAGTTTTTAGTTATTGTTTCTTCAAATAGGTTTTCAATTTCATCCTCTCTCTCTTTTCTTCTTCTGGTACCCCTATGATGCAAATGTTGTTATGCTTGATGTTGTCTCAGATGCCCCTTAAACTATCTTCACTTTTTTTGGATTCTTTTAACTTGTTGCTTTCTAATGGAGTATTTTCTGCTACTTTATCTTCTAAATAGCTGATTCAATCCTCTGTTTCATCTAATCTACTATTAATCCACTTAAGGTGTTCTTTATTTCTGACTGATTCCTTTTTATGTTTTCTATCTTTCTGTTAAAGTTCTCACTGAGTTCATCTACTCTTTTCTTAAGTTCATGAGCATCTTTACAACCAGTGTTTTGAACTCTGCATCTAGTAGATTGCTCCCTGCCACCAAAAAAAAAGCCTCTGGCATTTCATGAGTTGTAGAGGAAGCATCCCAGGGAGTCATCAGGTGTAGCAAGTGGAGTTCACAAGGCCAGTGCAAACTCAGATTTGGCCGTGTGGAGGTGGTCTCAACACTGGGACCATGGCAGGTCTCCCTTCAGCACTTACCATGAAGCCACACAACTCAAATTCTCCCTGTATTTGTCTGGCATCTTCCAAGCTGCCATCCCTCCAACACAGCACTGTGTAAATGTCTGTAAGTGAGAATGTCTGTGTGTGAGCCCTTTAAGAGGATGCCTAGCTTTCCCTCAGTCTTCCATCTCACCCAGAGAAATGGAATCCCCTCTGGTTTTCATAGCCAGCAGTTGTAGGGCCTTCTCTTCCTGGAATTGGTGTTCCAGGGAGCCTGGTGTGGGACTGGGACCCCTCACTCCTTGGGGGTACTGCCATAATCGAGATATTCCCCCCATTTCTAAACCACCACATTCAGGTGTGAGACCAGCGCATTTTGTGTCTCTGTCCCCCCTACCAGTCTTAAGGTGGCTTCTTTGTACATCCCAGTTGTAGGATTTCTGTTCAGCTAGATTTCAGATGGTTCTCCAGGCTGATTGTTCTATAATTTAGTTGTAATTTTGGTACAGTCACGGGAGGAGGTAAGCACAGTGTTTACCTATCTGCTATCTTCAGCCCTTCAACTGAATGGATGTCTCTCAGCACAATTTTTTTAAATGTGTGCTGAGGCTCAACTGTAAAAGCATCGTGACAGTCCTCTCTCCCAGCTAGGCTTGCATCAGCTTGTCACCAGCCCCCAAGTCTCTGCAATCAGCAAAGTGTCCAAAACCAAGCCAGTCAGCTTTATCTTCTCTGAAGTTCTCTGAGGGTACTGATGATAGCAACATGCAAAGAATAAGATAATGGTTTTATGGTATGGAAAGAGAAAATTTCAAGAACAGTATTGTGAAATACATATTCCATAGAGCTACTGTAAATCTTCTTCAGGGCAAGAAAATATAAATCAATTTACCTAAAGAGCTGCTCAATTTTCTACAGAAGTAATGAGTTTATGTTTAATATATACTGCTTCACATGGAATTAGCCACATGCTTTTTTTTAAACAAAGACTTCCCTATAATGGACATCGCTCTGTCCCTATGTACATTCTTTGATAGAAAGACCATGAAAACAACTTCATGTGGCCAGAGACTCTAATCCTGTTCTATGACAATTTCATTGTCTCAGGGCCTTTCCCTGGGCTCACGCAGGTATATTCCCCCGGGGCAAAAAAAATATTCTAAAGATGATCAATTAGAAGGAGTAGAAATCTCTCTAGAATATTCCTTTCTACACACTTAACCCCTGAATTAATTATCTACATGAAGTAGCTCGGGTCTCAGAGGACTCCAGAGAATAAATGACAGGTGGTCCCTCTAATGTAAGCAAGCTCTCTTTTTGTGACTGACCTCAGGTGGGTTCTGCCCCTCTCTCTAAGGAACCTGAGACCCCCTGAAGAGAGAAACTGTATCTTTCCAACTAGGTCTTAACACTCCAAGTGCTAGCTCCTTGCCTCTCCATATATCCCTTTCTTTCGCCTCAAGGTAAAATGTGTGGGAGAAGCCAGGCTACATATATTAACCATTTATTTTGCACCAATTTACTCTGCAAATAATGTTGAATTAAGTGCGATAATTCCTGACCTAGAGATGAGGAAATGGAAGCTAACTAATCTGTATAGGGCTCTATAATTGTTAAAGAGGCAGAATTTGCACCACGACAACAAAACTGCTGATTTTCCCATCCTGACTCTTGTGTGCTATTGTGTTTTGCTTTATATTTGTTTGTTTATCATTATTATTTAGTAAGACAATCATTTCAAAAATGAAGAAATTATCGTTTTCAGTATGCCTTCTATTCCCATACATATTTTTAGGGCATTCGATCCTCTCCAAACCCTGAGAGGTCAACATTATTTCTTGCATTCTTACACAAGAAGACTGAGGTTCCAAGTGCTAATATTCCTCGCTCAAGTCCTCATTTCACAGAATCTGTGACTGACAGAATGCAGATTCAGAAATATTTACTCTACTCAAAAATACTTTTCTCACCTCTCTACCCTAGATGTGCCACCCATGCCCACCCCCTAATCAACATCCAAAATATTTTTTCATGTTTTATTAAAATTAACCTGTATTTACTACTACTGATCACATTTTCTCAAAATGCTTACAAACTATTTAATAATCTCCTTTAGATATTTCCAGGATTGGTCATCAAGATCAATAATATCTAATCCTGGGATTCTGCTTTCTATCATTTTGAAACTTGGCATAATAATTGTCCCTCTTACCTAGTGGTACTTTTTCTGATCCTCAAGAATTGTCCACAATTGTGGACTTTTGCAAGATAATCCAATATACTGTGCTATAATATCTATGATTCTAAAAAATTAAACATGTCAAAATCCAAGGTACTCATTCCTAGTTGTTTGACAATAAGGTGCTGAAATTGTCCCTCCTCAAACTCATTTATTTCCAAATAAGATTGATTGTATTTAAAAGTGATTCTATTACTTCATTGTATATTTTTATTTCAAAGATAAATATAAATAATATTATAACTTTTAGCATTTTCCAAAACTTTAACTCAGCTTCTTTCTCAGCCTCCATAAAAATATTTTTTCAACTTCTGGTATAAGTTTTATTAAACCCAGTTTATGTATACTTTTCTTATTTGGGAGATAAAATATCCTTCAAAATTTGAAGTATTTACAGTGTAGCCAAACTTCATATTTTATAGAAAAAGGTAAAAAAAACAACAACAAAAAACTGAGATGAAAAGAATAGAAAAAAGAATAAGGGGAAGAGAGAGAAAGATGATACAATAAAGGTGATAATGTAGTATTTAGAAAAAGCCAATTTACTGCTCACGCCATACAAGTTTTCATGCAAAAGATAAAAGTGTCATGGGGAGTGCCAAACAATCATGACAATAGTACTGTTGTCAAATAGAGACCTTGACCAGGGTTGTAAAATGTGTCTGCCTATGTCTATGGAGAATTGCCTTCTGTGCAGGCAATCTTTACTTCTAAGCATGGAAGGTAAAAATTGATTCTTTAAGACATTGTCTTAATCAAAATACAAGAAAATGTTTATCTCCATGGAAGTGTGAGAAATTCACGAAAGCAAGCTTACATTTAGTTAGTTAGTTAGTTAGTTAGTTAGTTAGTTAGTTAGTTAGTTAGTAAAACAAATTATGTGAAAGCGGAAGGGACACACATAATTCATGTCACGTGGCTAACAGTTTAGAAGAAGAGAGTAAAAGAACAAATCTGCCATATCAAAAATAAAATATAGGTGCTCAACATCACTACTCATCAGGGAAATGCAAATCAAAACTACAATATCACCTCACGCCTATCAGAATGGCTCTGATCAAAAAGACAAGAGATAAGAAGTGTCGGCGAGGATGGGAGCCCTTGTGCCCTGTTGGTGGAAATGTGAATTGGTACAGCCAGTGTGGGAAACAGTGTGCAGGTTCCTCAAAAAATTAAAAATAGAACTATCTTATGACCCAGCAATTCCACTTCTGGATATTTATCCAAAGGAAATAAAATCACTATCTCAAAGAGATATCCACACTCTCATATTTATTGCAGCATTATTCACAGTAGCCAAGGTATGGAAACACCCTAAGTGTTCATTAATGGATGATTAGATAAAGAAAATGTATATATTGAGATTTATGTATGAGAGAATATTATTCAGCAATGAAAAATAAGAAAATCTTGCCATTTGAAGCAACATAGATGAATCTTCAAGGCATCAGGCTAAGTGAAATAAGTCAAACAGAAAAAAATATTAATTATTTCACTTTAAGATGTCAAATTCATAGAAACGGAGAATAGAATGGTGGTTACAGGGGCTTGTGGGTGGGGAAAATGAGGAGATGCTGGTTAGAAAGTACAAACTGCCAGTTGGAAGATAAATAATTTCTGGAAATCTGATGCACAACATTGCCAGTATACCTAACAATGCTGTGTTCTGTGCTTAAAAATTTGTAAGAGAATAGATCTTAAAAGATCTCACCACACACCAGAAAAAATGGTAACTTAAAACATAAATAAATAGAACCCAGGGCTGGGAGAATGAGGAAACAGATACACAAAAATATGTATTATTTCTAATTATATGCAGTCGCTATCATTAGTTTTTAATATCCTTCACTAATATCGAACACTCAAGCTTGGGCAGAAGGTTTCTATTTAAGTACGAGTCTGGAACTGCAATTAAAACGTTAATTCAGGATGTAACTAAAGACAATCACTCTGATTCTCAGGGTTTCTTTCCCTCTTCAATCAAACTTATTTATCCTATTTCCAAAAAAAAAAGGCAGTGAGTCTTCCTAAAAAAGTTAGTCTGATAAACATCTGTAACACTTGCAGTTATCACATGACTACTCTGTATCAAGACTCATCTTGGTAAACTTTTGCAGTATAAAATTAAAATGAGATAGTATAAAAAATACAAACAGATTAGTGAGAGAAAGGCATTTTCATGCTGATACACAGAGCTTTTAAAAACCACACTATAACCTCTTCACTGGCCTATTTGAGGAAAACTCAGCATTGTTGGGGGCAGAATGATGGTGATTGCATTGAGCATGATAAAAGAATTCAGGGGAAACCTCACAACTGAGAGACATTGAGCTGAGCTTGGGAAGGGCTAAGTTTGGGATATTAGCAGAGCACTCCAGAAGAAATCTCCTGTAAGAGGTAGGGGTCTGAGAGAGACATGAAATTAGACATTTTGAAAATTCATAGCTTATAGATAAGAGAAAGCACCATTTTGGAAAGAATTTTGGGGAATACAGAGAAAAATATTTTAGATGAGATAAAAAGGAAGGAAGGGTGAAACAAGGAAGAAAGAAGTAAAAGAATAAGAAGAAAACAAAGTCAGTGAAAACTAAGAAGACGAGAGTTAGAAGAAAAATAAAAAAAAAAGGATTGCACAAAATAAGCTAGCACTAGATGGCCTCTTCTCCAATCAAGAGTCTATACTGTTACTTGGTTGTAATAGCACACTAGACCTCTGTCCTGACTGAGCACCCAACTGTCTTTAATGTAACTGGACTGGAAGGAAACAGTAGGTAGTGTTTCCTTTATAAACTTTACAGAAAATGTGCCAGACTCGAAGGATTCCATGTTCCTTTCTTTATGACATGAGGGCAGCATGTCTGATGAAGGGACTAGGAGAGAGGAACAGGGGTGAATGAGAAAGACAGAGACCAAGAGGGGAGAAGAGGGGAATGAGAGGGGGAGACAGGAGAGAGAAATGGGAAGAAATAGAGAGAAATGGAGGGAGAGTGGGTATAGATATAGGTGTACTTAGATATAGCTAATATTACCCTATGATAGACATAAAGGTAGTAGATAGATGATAGGTGATAGATGATAGATGATAGATAGGTAGATAGATAGATAGATAGATAGATAGATAGATAGATAGATAGATAGATAGATATAGATAGACAGATGATAGATAGATAGATAGATAGATAGATAGATAGATAGATAGACAGATAGATGGATGGATAGATGGATAGATAGATGATAGATAGGTGATAGACGATAGATAGATGATAGATATAGATGATAGATTATAGAGAGATAGATAAAATTTTCAATTTCAAATAACTATGTAACATAAAGACTTTTTATTCTCATTTTTAAAATGAGAAAACTGAGACACAGAAGAGTTAAGTGATGTGGCCATGTCCTAAGTGACTGAAATTCAGACTCAGCATTCTTCTCCAGGTTCTGTGCCCAATACCAGCCATGGGGATTATCCCACGAACACAGCTGGAGTTTGGGGGATGTTGCCATGGAGTGTTGGAACACAAAAGCTGTGCTTATCCTCCGAACCTTGTCTCTCTCCTCCCACCCTTACATAAGGCAGGTGCCATGGAAGGAGGAAATGTGAGTTTCCCAGTAGTGTTGTCTTGATTAGCTTCTCAGATTGCCCATGGCTGGAGAGGCACCTCTTTGCACTGGTCTGGTCTCCTATACCCTTGAGTGATGGGAAACAGCTGCACCCTCTTTCTCTCCATCCTGGAGCCGGGCCTCAGGCGCCACTGTGCTTCTTCCTGGACAATCTCTGTGCTGGGTCTTTGTGTCACCTGCTTCGTCATGCCCAGCTGTTGGCCAGCCTCTGGGGACCAGAGGAAACAATTGCTTCCTGGGCCTACCTCAGGAAGAGGTAGGCATCGCACAGGCCTACCTCTTCCCCTGAACGGGTGGACTGAATGCACCCACTGGGGTCAGGGCCTGTGATCTCTGTGTGGCTATCTGCCACTGGTCCTATGGCCTGGCCAATTCGGTGCCCTAAGCCACATTCACACTGCAGCTCCCCTGCTGTGGTCGCCACACACTTGACCATTTCTTTTGTGAGGTGCTTGTTCTGATCGAACTGGCCTGTGGTGGCACCGCTGCTAATGACGTGTCCCTGGCTGTGAGAGCCACCCCTTTGGCCCTTGTGGCTCCCCAGCTTGGGCTCTTCTACACATTCATTGCCAGGGCTGAAGTTATCTTCAACTGAAGGAAGCTAAAAGGCACCCAGCACCTGCAGTTGGTGGTGGTCTTCATGTACTCTGGAGCCATCTACATGGACCTCTAGCCCCCTGCCAATGGCACTCAGGCCAAGTTCATGTCCTTTGTCCACTGTGTCCTCCCCCACTGCTCAACCTACTCATCTGCACCCTGAGGAACAGGATGTGAAGAGAGACTGGAAGAGGATCCTGCAAACCCCGGGGGAGGTGAAGTCCTAAAAAGGGTGGAAATTGTAAAACTCCAGGTAGCCTCTGCTGCCTCCTGGAGCAGTGCAGTTCCAAGAATGCTGGCAGGTCTGTGCTTCCCTGAGAGTGACTATGAGCTCCGAGCACAGAGTTCCTTTCTCATCTAGCAACCCCAACCACCTTGATGTCAAGAAACTCTTCGACCTCTGAAGTGCTTGTTCTGAACCTCACAGAAAACCACCTGCCCCTTCTCAACCCAAACATCTTATTCTCAGTGGAAAAAAAATAGTCCGCACATTTGCAGGAGAGTGAACAACCCCATCTTTTCAGTCTCCTTATAACAGTCTCCCTTTACCCAACAGCCACCACAAAATTTTGCTGATAAACTTTTGTGCAAATCCCAACAAGTATTTAAATGACTTCATCGGATTTATCACATCTCCTACCCACAGATTTTGACCTGTCCTGTCTCTGAGTGCCTCACGTGCTGTCTTCTATCTCAAACATCTTATCTCCCTATAATTTATCATATTCTTATTTTACCAATGCCCTCACCATTTGTCCTTGGTCATTCATTCAAGATAGTAATTTCAATCTTCCAATAATAAATTTCTTTCATTTATTATAATTAATTTACAACAAACAATTCAATCAGTTTTCAGATTTCTTACATATGTGTGAGCCAACACCCACATTTGTCTAATTTCTCCATACACTATGTGCTTTTAAAAGTTAGAGACCTCCCACTTCTACTGTATGTTGATCAATAAATATTAGACTCTAAATGCCTAAGATGTATCTAACAGAGGGCAGTTATTGGATAGAGGTTTGAACTGAGAGTTAATTAAACACAAAGGTGATCTCCATTTATTGAAAATCAAGAAGCACACCTGTTCCCATTAAGTTTGTCTTCGACACCTACCAAGGCCATGGGCGACTCCTTTTGTTGACTGATGCCTACTTGTGATCTCTTATAACAAAGAAAGGAGTGGGAATTTTAGTTCGATAAGAGATTTGAAGCAAACAATTTTATACTGTCACTTTATTCTTGTCCGATGATATTATTTGAAAGTAGATATTGCCCAACTAGATTCAAGCCTCTCCTTTCTGAAATGCTCTCTTCTAACTATGTATCTGAGCAGAAACTGACTCCTCAGCCCAACGTTTTGGAGATGGAGACAAAAGCTTTGGTCTTAATGAGGAGTCTGCTTCTAAGAGGTGATGGCTTTGAACCTCTGAACCATTTGCGACCTTCTCCTGGGCAGAGAAGAACCCAGGATGGCATCTAATCAGAACCCTATCAGCCCATTTGAATCAAGCTTGATGTGAAATTAGTCTCTTATCTATATAATTTCAAAGAGCAAGCAGGAACACTTTTTCCCAGAAATTCTGAAAACATGACATGTCCCATTTGTTGTAACTTTTGAAATTTATCTTTCTGGCAGGAAGAGTACCGAAAATTACCTGCTGTGAAGTTCTCACTGTCACAGTTTATTAACTCTAACTTGTCTTTCTGAGATAAGGGGAAAGCATCATATTGAGCATTAAGGCAACTTAGGACGCTTCCTGGGAAACCGAGAGAATAGTTTCTCAGAGGGAGCCCTCAGAGATTCCCTGATGAGGACAGAGGCTTGTTTCTGAGACAGGAATTTTGGGGGATGGTGAACATTGGTTTACAAAGGGAGGTGTCAGGTAGTAGAGCCCGTTGGATGCTCCAAGAGTGACAGACAACTGTTAGGGACACACTTGCATCTTGAGTATAAACCAGAAACTCATATATTCAGGGTCTGTGAAACAGTTTTAAAAGCCCAACAAGAAACTTGCTTCTACAGAAATTAAGGGATTAGGAAAGGCAATAGATGGTTGGAGTATAATTCTCACGTCCACAAGCCAACATGTTCTCTGCCTTTGCAAAGTCTTCCAAAATGTCAAACATCCTTGATTCATGAAGGATCAAAAACCAAAAACAGTGGTGCCTCGATGGACGTTGTCAACACCTGCAAGAGTCTTTTTCGTCTAGCTGTACCCATTTCCACAGCACCACGAGTGTTTCTGTTTGTGATAAGAGCTCAGGGCACTGCACTTTGACTGTTTAGCTGCTGTTCTGCTCTGAAGAGCCCATGATCTCTTTCTTAGCTCTCTTTGGTTAAATTCCAGGTATAAGAACTTTCACGGGGCACTTTGTTTGGTCTTCGTAACAGAAATACATTTATAACTTGTAGTAAAAATGGATTACGGCTGGTCATGACTCATCTCAGCTGCTGGTGACTTTCCTAGAATGATCCTCATGGGATGAGCTTGTTTTCGCTTGATCTACAAAGTCTTGAGGTCACTTATCAGGGCTCCCTGTTATGGACTGAACGTATCTGTTGAAACTCTACCCCTTACTGTAATGGTACTGGGAGAGGGGACTTTGGGAGATGACAGGTCATGAGTGTGGAGCCCTGAGATGGGATCAGTGCTGTTTTAAGGAGACAGAAGAAAGGTAACTCCTCTCCCTTTCCTTTTCCTCCTCCCCTCCCCCATCTGTCTGTCTGTCTGTCTGTCTTTCTCTCTCTGCCATGTGAACACACAGTAAGAAGGTGGCCATTTATAACTAGGGCCAGTAACTTAATCTTAGACTTCCCAGCCTCTAGAACCATGAGAAATAAATGATAGTTGTTTAAGCCAACCCAGTCTGTGGTATTTGTGATGGCAGCAGGAGCAGAGTAAGGCACTCTAGGCATGGACTACAAATGCCTCTCTCCCTCACGATGGGAATGCAAAGTCTGGCATATGATGAGATGTGAGGGACTTTGAAAGACCCCTACTCACAGAGGAGCAGGCAGGTATACCACTCCCACTGGGGATAAAAGGAAGTTTCAAGAGGTAACATAAAGTCCTACCATAAACCACTGGGGACTGAGCAGTGCATCAGAGGATAGTGTGACACCATGAGAAATAAACAAGAGGACAGGAGCCTGTGTGACAGATTGCTCAACATCTCGATGACCAGCGGACACTAATGTAGTTGCAGTGATCCGCATTTTGATCTTTTCATATGCTTATGCACTTTTAATTAGTTTACTTGAGTGTGTAAATCTATAGAAAAGCATGTCTTGTGGAAAATCGCCAGCTCATACTCCACACACTCCTACTCCCTAGATAACCCCCAAACAATACTAATGAAGTCAGTCTCCACAGCATCCCACAACATTAATAATGAGTTAGTTTTACCCTTTTTTTTTTTTTATCTCTGCTGACTTCACTCTGCAGTCTTGAAAACCTACCCACAAAACAAAGTTTTAACAAAGGGCAGTTGAATTTCTCTGGAATTTCCCATCTCAAACACCACAGCCCTAATCTAAGGATGCGCAGAAGAAAGGGGGGCTCAGACAAAGCAATGGGAGGGGACCAGTCCCCGCGAGGAGGCCACTCTGCCCCAGTGAGCTCAGGAGCCTCTCAGCTTCTCCAGGGCATTGGGATCTGCAGGTGCTCAGGGCAGATTAGGAGGCACAGGGCTCTGCAGGCAGGTTCTCCAACCAGACACTTAGGTTCTGCAGGTACTGGCGGAATTTTCCAGATGAGGAAGGAGGTGGGAAGGATGTTTTTAGAAAGTAAAGAAAACGAACCTGAAAAGACATCGCATTGAAAGGGGAAAAAGCAAAACAAAACACTGGCTTGTCCCAAGAACCATCAGAACTTTACTGCATGTGTCAGGCATTTTAGGGACAGTGAGAGGAAGTGAGCCTCCACTCAGTCTGGGACCACTTAGAGGAAGGCTTTTTTTTTTTTTTTTTGGCCAATGTAATGAATACTTGTATATTCAGGTGACAGTGCTAGCACAGAAGACATACCAGGAAACAAAACCCAGAAATTTTCTTCCCAAAATCATGATTATTTAGGAGTAAATAACAGGCAAGTAAAACAGAATAGCGACCCTTGAACACGTGTGCTCATATGTCCCCTAAAAGAATTTGGAAAAGTATACTTTCTTGCACATTTTAAAATTAATATTAGCCAATTTTTTGTATTGGTTTATACTGTTGCAAGGGAATATTTTATGGTGTATTATTTACCATGTGTTTGCCTTAAATATTTTATCAAATTTTGGAGCTGTAGGTTTAGTTTATTCCATTTTTTGAAAACTTTTCCCAGTCTAACTCTATGATCTAGTCCTCATTTTTTTAAAACCAGGCTAATTTTATTTACTTTTCACTTGAAAAATCTGCTTTATTTCTTTTTTTATTAAGCAAGATTGTTAAAAATGCATGCCTGTGACATCCTTGTCAAGTCTGGATTCTAATCCTGAAAAAGATATGTACAGAGTGATGGGCAGCAGGCAATAGGGAACCGCGGGAAAGACAGGCCCAGCTGGAGGGGCAGGCCTGGCTGGAGCGACAGTCCCTAGCCCTCTGCCACCTCCTAGAAATCAGGTGCCGCTGCCGCTGCCGCCAGTGTTGCCTCCTAAGCTCTCTTGGGACTCTGCCATACATGGTAATTTTTAATTATTCCCTTGCTTTACCAAGTCCTTCGTTTGCACCTCAGAGCGACGCCTGGTAGAAAAGTCCAGAATGTGACTTTGTGACAAGGTGAAGGGAGAAAGGCTGTGCAAAGGGCAAAGGCAGGGCTGTCGCTTGTGGCTCTCAGACTGACGCACCCCGTGACGCACTCCGGGTTGGAGAGCGTGTGAAGCTGCAGTCACAGTCCCTCAGCGCTGAATTAAGAATGGAGTGTGGGGCAGACAGCTGTTCTCTGTTTCCTGAGGTTGGAAATTGTGCAAACGACGCTCCCGAAAGAAACGGGCGCCCAGCGAGCAAGTCTTCCTTGCTCCCCCGAATATGCGCATGCTCCCCGGGACAGCACGAGCAGGAGCAGGACCCATAACAGACGGACTCGGAGCCGAAACCGCGGTCCGCCCAGATAGCCAGAGCTAAAGCCAGCGGCCTGAAGCAGCACTGCAGGCTAGCTGGCGGCGCATCCCAGCCTATCGCCGCTGCCCACGGAACCTGCAAGTCATCCTTGCTGGCGGGGTCCTGAGGGAGAGGGTTCCAGCCTCCACAAGAGAGGGCAGGGACGACGAACAGGCCCGGCCTGCGTGCGCGATCGCTGCAGCATAGTCGCCGTCGTGCCGCCTGCACCACAGCACGCATGGAAAAAAGAGGTCGTGACCAGCTCACGTGAAGGAATTCCCATGAGCTTGGCGGCGAAGCAAAGCGCACAGAAACCGCACGGCGGGGATGGTTTGTCAGCAAGCTGACAAAAATACATGGTGCGCAGCCGACCCTTGAACAATGGGGGATTGGGACAATGACCCCGCATAGTGGGAACCCCACGTGTAACTTTCAACTCCTCAAAACTTAGTCGTCCCTCGGTATCCGCGGCGGGGGAGCGGGGAACTCCCAGGACCCCATGGGCCCCACATGAAATGCCTAGGTCAGTGCACGTGGCCAGTCCCCACACCCACGGACAGTAAAGGCGGATGAAAACGGCACGGTATTTATTGAAAAAACTCCATCTGTAAGTGGACCCACACAGTTCAAACCCATGCTGTTCAAGGGTCAAGTGTATAATTTATATAACATAAGTTATATAAATTATATAAGTATATAACTTACACCACTTCTTGATAAATCCTGGCATTGACTGAAAATGATCCCTTTCTGAGATTTAAAAAAAAAGTACGTTCGTCTCCCTCTTAATTGGCAAAAAAATTAACAGTGAAGAGTAAACTCACCTATCAATAGGTTCACCTCTGTCCAGTTTTTCAGCACAAGCCACAGCTCATTTGTGAAACCAGCAGTGTGCATCCACAGAGATTTCTGGCCCGGATATGTGTAGCATATAGTCGTATAACTTACATAACTACATAATTTACTTTTTATTTGAAGAATCTGCTTAGTATCTTTTTGATTAAATACATATGTTAAATATGCCTTCTCAGTCTGGATT